CCTCCTCCCGTGCAGAGCTCCTGTTTTTGGTGTTTTTCCCGCTGGCGTTCCCGTGTTCAGCAGCAGCAGGTGTTAAAGGTCACAGCAGAAGATAAACTCTTGGACGTGTAATCACACCTGGAATAACAGCTGCTTCTTTTAACTATAGCATTGTGGATGACGTTTAGACGGCCTTGTGAGTAAACATGTCTGAGGCTACAGGACGCGTTTGGGATTGTTAACGTTTTGGTCTGTCTCAACAGAAACCCGGACACCCAACCAGGTGGTGAGCTGCTGCTGGGAGGAACTGACCCAAAGTATTACACCGGAGACTTCCACTATGTCAACATCAGCCGTCAGGCCTACTGGCAGATCCACATGGACGGGTACGAACGTTACGATGAAGAGTACACAAAAATGTTCTGGAAGATTCTCATTATGGAAGTCTGAGTTTTGGTCTTTTTAATTGTGTCACGATTATCAGGAAACCTTTAAAGAATCCCAATAAGTTAGAAGAGCAAATCCTTTCATAGTGAGCAGACGCTTCATACCTGATCATACCTCCATTGTACCAAACGTCTAAAACCAATGTGCATAAATATGAACAAAGGATCAAAAGAAAGGTAGAAAAGCTGCATGAATTATATTTAATGAGGAACTGGAACGCAGTAAAACTATCGGACTGGGAGAAAAACCTTCAACAAACCTAAAATTACTTGTAGAGAAACTAAAAGGGAAAAAAAATTAAAGGTTTATTACTAAAACTTTCTTTCCACATTTGAATCGTTCACTGAAACTCTGACCACCCACATGCAGCAGATACACCAGTTTCTCCTGACAACTCCACCTGCAGGACTCTGATTTCTGCTGGTTCCTGGAATCGCACCAGTTTCTCACACTGCCATCTTGTGTTTGTGTGACAGGATGGCGGTCGGCAGCCAGCTGAGTCTGTGTAAAGGTGGCTGTGAGGCCATCGTGGACACCGGGACGTCTCTGATCACTGGTCCATCGGCGGAGGTCAAAGCCCTGCAGAAGGCCATTGGAGCTATTCCACTCATCCAGGGAGAGGTGAGAACTGAAACCCTGATTCAGTAACCAGTGGACTAATAAATCCAGACATTAAGGCAGCTGCCTTAGCCCTCTGCTCTGTGTTTCAGTACATGGTGGACTGTAATAAGGTCCCATCCTTGCCTGTCGTCACCTTCAACATCAATGGACAGACCTACAGTTTGACTGGCGACAAGTATATCCTTAAGGTGAGACTGAGGAGGACATCCAGTAGGTGGCAGCAGTGTGTCTGCTCCTGCGTCACCAAAACAGCTCAGATTCTGTCATAAAGACCAACAAGTGCAGCTTTGTTTCAGTCTGCACAGCTGGTCGGTTGTTTGAGGAGGAAAAAAAAGTTTTTCTGTTTGTCTTCACTCAGGCTGTCAGAATTTTGCATCAGATGGACATTTTAACACCAAACTGATTTCTTGTGTTCTGATCCTGCAGGTGAGTCAGGCTGGAAAGCAGATCTGCCTGAGCGGCTTCATGGGGCTGGACATCCCTGCGCCCGCCGGGCCGCTGTGGATTCTGGGAGACGTGTTCATCGGTCAGTACTACACCGAGTTCGACCGCGACAACAACAGAGTTGGCTTTGCTACAGCGAAATAAAACGCATCCAGCCATGGACCGTGAGCTCTAGGACCGGATCTGAGCTGCACGGTTTTCTGTTGCTTTGCTATCAAAATGAATTTAGCAGTAGATTTTGTATAGAAACACTTGCACTGAAGAGTTTAAAACATTTCTGATCAAACTATCAAAAGTGATAGTTTTAAAAATCCAAGTAATCTTTTTCTTTTAAAATCAGGGATTTGTGTTAGTTTTATTTAGCTGGTAGATGGCCCAGCTACTGCTGCCGTTTTCTTGAGATGGGCTCGTTTAAATCTGTTGTGTTGTTTCTGAAGAAGAAGCTTTCAGCAGCAGCAAACGAGGAAATGACTTTTATCCAGTTTTTTGCTCTTAAGAGCTACCATGTTGGAGTTGGAGGACTGTATCTTTTTTCACTTTTACTTTCTAGAGTTTCAGTTTGATTTCTCTTTTAAAAACCTGCTGTTGAATTGTTTGTCCGTCAGGGATTCTGTACAAAATAAACAATATACAAAACAAACTAACGGGCTCTTGGGTTGTCAGTCAGACATGTGTCACCCTTTACAAAGACAAAAGCTCATTGTTTTGTTTCCTGAGTTACATGATGAGAAAAAGATATGAATGTGGTACATTTACCAAAAACTAATTCATTACATGGTGATGAATGCAGAAGATGAACAGGCACTAACGGGGAACGTTTCTGATGCTTCTGTTCTTGAATCTTTAATTAATCCAACATTTATCACACATTTTCTGTGGTCTGAACCTGTGGAAATGCTGGAGAAGAAAGAAAAATTATTCTAATTCATGAACTCCTTAAATATCTGCAGTTCCTACAGGATGCTGGTGTACAGCTTGTGATGGAAATGGTAAATCGCATCCTCTAATTTAGAATATTTCTACGAAACAAAAGCATTTAGCAGAACGTTGAATTAATTTCTCATCCGTGGTTTTAGCTGGTCAGTATACCATTGTAGACTTGCCTATAAAAGTATCCGTAAACAATCCACACAAACAGTCCTTTCAGCTTTTTATGATCAGTAAATTTGTCTTCATGTGTTTTCTTGAATCTGCAGGTTCACATCAGTTAAATGAGCCGTTTTCAGCTATGGCCAAAAGTTTTAGGAATGAAAAAAGCGTCGCTGTTCATATTTTTATGATCGAGTTTTGTATCAAATCCAGAATATTAAGGAATGAGATGGATTAGAATCAATGCATGGCAACCTGATAACGTTTCCACTGGGCTGCTGTAGCTCCCTCTTTGGGTTTGAACATGTTCAGAAATGCAAGCAGGCGTGAGTGTGTTTGAGTCAGTCTATATTCTGCCTAAGGTCTGGGGATTGGAGTTCTGCAAACTAAAAATAAAGTCATTTTCTCCCAGTGAATCCCATTTCTGATGGCTAGGGTCTATCAAAAAGCAGACTGTCTGGAGGTGAGCACTCTGTGTGTGTGTGTGTGTGTGTGTGTGTGTGTGTGTGTGTGTGTGTGTGTGTGTGTGTGTGTGTGTGTGTGTGTGTGTGTGTGTGTGTGTGTGTGTTTTACCTTCACAAATAACACAAGCCTGAAGGAGTTCTGCCATGTGGTGGAGTTGCTAATGCTAACAGTTAGCTTCTACTAGTCGAGACGTTCTCTGCTGTTTGCTGAATGCTAAAACAACAGCCTTCACCGTCGTGAGTCAAGATGAGTGAGTCCATGAGTGTTAACCCTTTAGGCGCCATAGTTTTTCAGTAAAATATGAAATTTTTATATCACTATTTAAAGAGCTTGTAGCTTAAATCTGGTTAGAGATAGAGGAATGTTGAAAATTAGAAAAATCTTCGGTATGAGCCAAGTTTTGAGATAGGACCAAATTCACTCACATAATTTGCATATTATAACGTCATCAGGTGGCGGCCATATTGGATTGCATCACATTTGCAGATTTTGGTTGTTTTTTTATGTTTTTGTCTTATTTTCTTAGTGTTGTTATTGTTTATGATACACATAAAAATATTCCTATGTAGACATATATAACTATGTATGTATGTATGTATGTATATATATATATAATATTTATGACTTTATTGGTATTTTGTTATGTTTACTGCGGATCAATCAAGAGCACTGTTTTTGGTGCTTCAGTGTCATTAACATATTTCACCCATCCCTTCTTTGGTTTATTTTGTTTATAATTGTTTTATATATATATATAATAAACAAAATAATACTCAGAACAAATGCTTTGTGGCCATATTTGTCTGTTTTATGGGTTGTCCAGCCTCAAGGTAGACCTTCCCTTGAATGCGATGGTCATTTCATCCAAGGACAGTTCTTTCTGCGGACCATAGATGGATGAAAAGTGTGGAATTATCATCTCAATAATGAACAGTCTTTCATGACCTGGCTGACCCCTTTCAACACGCTCATTATTTGTTTACAAAGTGGAGAAAAGGAAGGATGATCTCAAATCTGTTTCTTGACATCTCTTTGCTGAAGCCAGGTGTGTATGTTAGCCAAAAGCCAGCCCAATAATCCTCAATCTCAGGCTTTTCCACAAGCCCCATGCAGAACTGAATGGCAATGAATGCCTTCATTTCTGGGACAGTTCCATCGTACCAGTCATTATATCTGGAGCTAGATTTCAGTTCCTCCCTCTCTAAATACTGGTGAGCATTTCAGTTAGTTTCAGTTGTGATGAGGGTCCAGAATTCCTCATCCAAAAAAATTGACAGAAAATCAATGTGTTCTGAATTTGACTCATCCCTGTCCACAGTATCCAACTGGCTCATCAAAATGCCTGATCCACTTGGAATACTGTTCCTCTTCTCCCAAACTAACCCAGCCATCATCATTATAATTGTCACTGAGGCTGTGTTGGGCCACCCCCCTGCTAGCAGTGATTGTTTTCCCGCAGTTCCTCCCCCTCCTGCTGCAATTCCCGCGGTTTACACCCCCGGGGCTGAATCGATCACCAGCGAAGTTTTCACCGGCCCGATCACCTACAGTGAAGGCAGCCTTGGTTAAAGTTACTGGTTTCAGTTCATTTCAGTGTGACAGGGTCACATTGGAGATTTTCAATTTGTCACTTTAGACATGCAGATGTTTACTCATAAGTACAGAAAAAGTTTAATTTTAGTTTTAAATTACCACGAAAACATATAAATCCTTCAAAAGTATACTATGATGGTCCTGAATAAGTGCTCCAAATGTATTTTATTCCCTACAACCCACTTAAATCAACCAACAAGAAAGGTAACCATGTTTGTCTTACATCATTAAAGGTTTAACACGCCAGATAAACATAAAGACGATGTTACGAACTACAAATGTTAGCATTTTGGGACCTGAGCTGCACTTCAAACTAAAAGAAAAAAATAACATTTTGTGAAATTTACAACAATAAAATCTTTGAAATGGCCACACAGTCTGATGGAGGCTGACATTAGTGAGATGTTAACCACAAGCTGGCCAGCTAGGTGACACTCATCAATAGGTGTGTTTAAGGTTGTCTGGTGATGCTGGATTCTAGACTAGTCACAGTAACAGATCAACACCAATCCTACAGTCTGTATTTAATGATTGGCAAGTCAGGTGGTGGAAATGTCCTCCTGAACTGCCCAGGAAGGCATAATAAAACCAGCAGCCGTCTGTTCAGTCTGACCTTTTCCGTCAGCGCTCCTCCTCTGGCTCTCCCTTCTCTTTGTCTGAGCTTGTGTCTCCAGGATTCTGCTCCCTGTTGGGATCATTGTTCTGGTTTTTCTGCACTCCTTCTGGATCCGTCAGTGGTGCAGCTGGGTCTCTGATAACACCTTCCATCTCCACCTCCAGCTCCTCCTCAGTCTCCTCCTCCACTCGGCCCACGGAGTCCGGAATGATTTCCACCTCAATGTCCGAAGAGTCCTCACTCTCCTTGAACCACACCGTCTTCTGGCCCTCCCTGCGGCGTTGCTTTGCTAGGATCGACCTCATGCTGTAATCATCCATGTCTCCTCCACCCCTCCTCACTGCTGGGCTTCCCTTCGGGACGTGGTTGGTGAAGACCCCACAGGTGGAGCAGTGACGGCTTCGCCTGTCCAGAGGAAGGATCCGGCTCATGGGCTGGGGGAAGGTGCTGCGTCTGGGGACAATGTTCCAGCGTCTACTCCCTCGGTTTGGGTCACTCTCGTTCTGGAAGCCGTCGTTGGTGAACTGCAGGGAGTCTCTGTGGCCAGACCGAGGCTGTTCTGCCTGCAGGCACGGGCCCAGGCACTACAGGGTTGAAAAGAGACCCCATTACTACACCAAAACAGGTACTAGGGCTCATCCCTGGTGGAGTCATTTCTACCTTTGAATGATTCCGTGGTCAGTGCTCATTAATGATCAGAAACTAGTAAAAAAAACTAAGAAAATTGTTCAAAGAACATTTGATCAGGACCATTTTAAAGGAAGTCTGGCAGCTTGAAGAGCAAATATGAAGAAATGATGAATACTGGACAAGAACTTTCACATTGCACTGTAGTTAAATTACACACTTTCTTTGATGGAAACTCACCTCACATATTTTGTCAAAGCTTGCTTTTCCCTTCCACAAGCGAGAAATCAAGAAGCCAATCACAATAAGGCAGAGGACCAGGAGAGCTGCCATGACCAGGCCCAGGAGCGCCATGTCGCCTGGTCGGTAGCCCACATTGGAGGGGGATGGACTGGCGATGGCTGCAGAGAAACAAACAGGTGAGGGACACAACGGAGCATCTGAATAATTAAATATGTCCAGCTGATCAGTGCCAGGACTCCTCTGCAAGCTCCAACATGTGATTTCAGTATTTTTTATTTTTTTGGAAACAATTTTATTCTCCAAAAATTAATTTTTTTGTCGAATATTTAGTGTGTAAAATTGTACCACTTTGTGTAAGGAAATGTTGCAGTGAGTGATCCAAAACCTCCTATGAAAACCACAATCAGACAATGGATTATAACATCCATCCATCAACAAACCATCCATCCATCCATCCATCCATCAACTAACCATCCATCCATCAACTAACCATCCATCCATCCATCCATCCATCAACTAACCCACCCACCCCATACATCCATTCATCAACAAACCATCCATCCATCCATCCATCCATCCATCCATCCATCCATCAACCCATCCATCCATCTGTCCAACTATCCATCCCTCTATCCATTCATCCACCCGTCCATCCATCTGTCTGTCCATTTATCCATCCATCCATCCATCCATCCATCCATCTACCTACCCATCCACTCATACATACATCTGTCCATCCATCCATCCATCCATCCATCCATCCATCCATCCATCCATCCATCCATCTATCCATCCATCCATCCATCTACCTACCCATCCACTCATACTGTACATACAGCCGTCCATCCATCCACCCATCCATCAACTCAACACATTGGGGCAGCATTCACATCACCGCTGATGCTGAAATTGACTTATCCCTTTATATTTATATCACCATTAACATTTTTTTCCGTTTCAACTCCAGGGTGTTGTTGTAATCCATAACCAAGTGTATTTCTGTTGTTACAATTTTCAAAAATATTATTTCATGCAGGAAATCTGACAAAACGAAGTGATCAAATATGGACGTTGGACCGGTTCTGGTAAAAGAAATCCTAAAATAAAACACATGAACAAGTTAAAATAAATTTTATTTTTCAACAGTATAGATAATTATAAGAGACTTTAAAATAATCTAGCTAATTCTAGAACATTGTATCACTGTTCAAAAATACAGAATATGTCACAGCATTTGAACAATATAGTATACTTTTATAAAAACAAATGACTGTAGACTATTTTTCAGAAGTTATTGAACAATAGATACTATTTCTTATCAAATATAGATTATCAGAATACTTTAGAATATTATATATTTGAGGATATGCCTCAATGTCATCGTTCTCCTGTTCATCATCATCACTGATGGTGAGATTGGTTTGCACAGTAACTGTCCTCCATTTCCCAGAGAAATCTTAGTTTAAAACTGCTAAATATATTCAATATCATCCTTTTTATTATTACTATTAACACGAATATTAAGATTATGTCTAGAAAACAACAGATTTAATCTAAAATATTCATAATTTATTTTCCTTGTTCATGGCGTATGTTCAAATATGCAGATTTGATTTTCATGCAAAGATTTCACATACTTTATTTACAAGCGATATATCATTATTTAGCACAACTAGTCAACCTGGTGATGTGAGAGTTTTATAAACCTAGCATTGTTGCCTAGCACTGATGGTTGTCGGAGGGACCGGTGGCGCCTGTAATCGGCAATCTCGCCTCTGTCAGTGCACCCCAGGGCAGCTGTGGCTACATTGGAGCTCATCATCATCAGCGTGTGAATGTGTGTGTGAATGGATGAATGATACACTGTAGTGTAAAGCGCTTTGGAGTCCTCTCACTCTGAAAGGTGCCATACAAGTGCGGATCATTTATCTTTTGACCGTAAACAGGAGAGGAGACCGAGCAGTTTTCTGGTTCTGCAGACACACCAGTATTATAACCCCGCACTGATTGGTGGAATGGTGCCATGGAGCAAATTGTGACTAGCTTGATCTCTGATGATTGTTTGGGTGAAATCCTGTAATTCTAGGAGTTCATGAAAAACACCAACGTCATTTATGATGCGGGTGGAAGTGTTTAAATAAAGATATTGACCCTATAAAGGGTTACGTTTGGGAAGCCTTGTTTATCTTCATGATTTTTCTTTAGAAATTGTTGGTTGTTATGATAAAAAGTTTCAGTTACATATATCATGTAGGAGACACACACAGTGATGTTTGAGAAGTGAAACAAAGTTTATAGGATTTACAGAAAACATGCAACAATTGTTTAAACATAATTAGGCGGGTGCATAAATTTGGGCACTACAAAAAATAAATGAACTCAATATTTAGTAGATCATCCTCTCTTTAATTCACGCCACAGGTTTTCATTAACATTGAGGTCTGGGGACTACGATGGCCAATCCAGAACGTTCTACTTGTTCCTCTGCATGGATGCCTAAAGCCGGGCGTACACTGTGCGACTTTTTCACTTTTTTGAGCCGATTTTCCACTCGTGCGAGAATCCACGACATCGGGGCGAGTTTTGCGCTGAGTGTCGTGTAGTGTACAGGGGGTTACGAGAGGCGATTAACACCACGTGACCAGCTACCGATCAGCAATCGTGAGCTCGCACGGACTTCTGGCGTGTTTAATATTTCGCTCGTCCCTCGTGAGGGTATCGCACTGTTGAAGCGGCGCTGCGAGCAGCTGCGACCCAAAAAGTATCAGAACCGCTCACGGCGCATGCACAATCCTGCATCAACGCCGCTCCCCGCTATTTCCCTAATAACACACGTTGTTCGTTTTTGTTTCTACACGTTTTTTACTCACAAAGATTGTCAAGAAAGCGTGTTTGTTGTGTTCATGTCAAATTAAACTGATCACAAAACACAGATTTACTTTCTTTCTTTATTTCGTTCATCCAACCCCCATAAATCCCTGTGTGTCCTCCTGCAGCACTCCCGAAGGACAACAGGCAAAACAAGACAAAAAAAAGTCTGACGTGTTGAGTAAAAACTGCTATTTTTAGCATATTTTCAGGGCCGACGTGTTGCTACCAGACGTACAGTGTGAGCAGTCAGGTCGCATGCGAGAACAGGGTCGTACAGTGTGAGCACATGACTCGTGAGATCTGCCCTGCGAGGAAGTCGTACAGTTTGAGCTGAAGCTGAGTGCTACGAGTGAAAAAGTCGCACAGTGTACGCCCGGCTTTAGTAGATGTTGAGCAGTGTTTAGGGTTGTTGTCTGCTGATATTGAGTGGAATCCATGCGTCCCTCAACTTTAACAAGATTCCCAGTCCCTGCACTGGTACACAGCCCAAAGCATGATGGAACCACCACCATGTTTTACTGTAGGTAGCAGATGTTTGTCTTGGAATGCTGTGTTCTTGTTTTATCAGTCCACAGCACCTTATTCCATAACGAAGCTGGCTTGTCCAAATGTGCTTTAGCAAACCTCAAGCAGCTCTGGTTGTGCTGTGGGTGGAGAAAAGGCTTCCTCTGCATCACTCTCACATGCAGCATCTCCTTGTGTAAAGTGCACTGAATAGTTGGAACGATTCACAGTGCAGAAAGATGATGGTGTAGGTCTTTGGTGCTGGTCTGTGGGTTGACTGACTGTTCTCACCATTCTTTGCTTCTGTTGATCTAAGATTTTTCTTGGTCTGCCACATGGAGCCTTAACTTGAACTGTGCCTGTGGTAGTGTTGATTTCGTCGACTAAATGTTTTCAGTTTCATTGAATTTTTGTTTGTTTGTTTTCTTTCGAGACAAAGCTATTTTTGATGACTAAAATGAAATGAAAACACAAACAACAATAAAGAATAAATTACGACAAATATTCGTTGATGAATAGGAGACGACAATGAAAATGGACAGAAAAAAACACCAATCAGCAAATGGAAAAGGCGGGACTAGACGAGAAAAGATCAATCAGAGTCCGTGGCCGGCTGCTGTTTGAACAAGCTATAGCTAACCAGACATCCTATACTAATGTTTATGCCGGTAAAAGTTATGTCTGAAGAGAGAACATATCCACGGCTGGAGTAAAAGCAGTAGATGTGATGACCTTGATCGATCTGTTCAATAAAAACTAACAAATACAACTAAAAACATTTCTTCTGCATTATTAACACATTTTAATGTTTTGATGGTATGATGCCATTTTCTGTCATGTTTACCAATATTACTGCACATTATGCAGATTAGTTTATTTTATCAATACTGAGAGGCACAATTTCAGACTGTCAGTGTTCATTTTGGTATTTTTCTAAAAATATTGTTTTAGAAACAATTGTAAATATAGTTTTATTGATCCAAAGTGTGAAATGTGAATTTTTCATATTTCTTTACAGTAGCTGTAGTTAACATTTACATGGATTTTAGTAAACTAAAATAAGACTTAAACCAATACAAATTGGACAACTAAATTCTGATGAAAATCACAAATTATTTTAGTCAAAGGACTACGGCTACACCAAATTAAAATTAACACTGGCTTGTGGTCTTCCATGTTCCTAACTGTGGAAACAGACAGCTGAAATCTCTGAGGCAGCTTTCTGTATCCTTCCCCTAAACCAGTGGTTCCCAACCTTTTTCCCAAGGGACCCCGTTTTTTACCAGTAAAATTTTTGACGAGCCCCTCCCATTCTCTCTTCCAGTACAAACATTATTAAGAAATGATAAAATTGTTCAAGCACATTTTAGTATGCTTTGACTCAATAGATAACAGTAATAGTAGGCTCCAGTACAGAACAAAGTCATTAACAAAACCAAACAGAGCATAATGTGCTTGACAGTTTGTATTACTTTTCTGAACACATTGTTTCTTGTAAACACTGATAAATCAATCATTCCTTTCAATAAACATTTGACACATAAAAATACACTGAGCAAAATGTACTTAAATGTGTATATTACTGTTTATACTAGATTATTTACTGTAAAGGCTGTGATTAATCAACCAGTCCTATCTTTAATGAACTTTTGACACTTGAAAATAAAACGGTGAGCTGAGCAAAATGTTCTTAAAAGTGTGTTACTTTTTCTGTACTAATTATTTCCTGTCTTAATATCAGTAAACTTTTCACTCATGAAAAAAATGTGAGCAAAATGTAGGCTATAAACAAGTAATAAATGAAGTTTTAACCCCTTAAAGTGGAGAGGTCCTGGCGACCCACTGAGAGGCTTTGGCGCCCCCTTGTGGGGTCGGGACCCCCAGGTTAGGAACCACTGCCCTAAACCATGATGGGGAACAATCTTTGTTTTCAGCTCGTGTGAGAGTTGTTCTGAGACCTCCATGTTGTTACTCTTCAGAGAATATTCAACGAGGAGGGAAACTTACAATTGGCGCCATTAAATTCTCTTTCTCGTAACTGGATTCAACTGTGTACAGAGGTCAAGGGTCATTGAGCTTACCAAACCAATGTAGAGGTCCAATAATTAGTTCTAAAGGCTTAGAAATCAATAAAAAACAGTTCCCAAATGTATGTATCTGACTAATTTGTTTTAAACAATTATTTTCACACTTTCTGTAAATCCTGTAAACTTTGTTTCACTTGTCAAATATCACTGTGTGTGTGTCCTATATGATGAATTAATTATTTTATAGTAACAACCAACGATTTATACAGAAAAATCATGAAGATTAACAAGGCTGCCCAAACCTTTGCATCCGACTGGGATATTATTGATGTTCGCCACATGGAACAAGTGGCTTTTTCCAACCTGGAGTTGGGCATTCAGCTTTATCTGTTGCATCTGAAGATTCTTCATGGTCCAAGTTTGATGACACCAAAATCATCCTCAAAAAGCAGGGATACAATCTAAGACCTCCCAACTTGCAGACTTTTGATACTTGGCTGCAACTAGAAGTTCTGTCTACAAACAGTACCGGAAAAAAGTCTACGTTTTACTGCAAACACAATGCTATTGCACAGTCATCAAATAGTCCTCAGTAGGGCACCATGGTCCTCAAGTACCCCATCATAAGTATGGATGGGAATACTACCACTCACCCTTACTTCTCATTGTGAGGGCACTGACCCAGCTGTGGAACATGACTTCATTTTAACACAAAAATAAACAAAAGCTGTGTGAAAGTATGTTTCAGACATTAATCTAAGTTAACCTCTTTATTTTGTCTGAAAGATTATTTTCTGTATGTTTGTGAGAATATTTTCATTCTTGATTCTTAAAAATGATTCAGCTCAAAGTTTCTATCAAATGACATTTAGAAGAAATCTGTTTAATAGAAAATAACCATCAAGCTCATTTCTGGTGAGTTGCTTGGGGTTTATTAATGAGTCTGAATGATGCACGTAAAAACTAGAGCAGGACTGGTTTATAACGAGAATACCATTGTTATTGTGTTCGTCACATAGAGGCAGGAGCACCTAATTGTTCACATTATCAGTCCTGTATTTCTCTACAATATGACCTTAAATAAAAGCTAAAACAAGACAGCAGTGATGTCCCTACCAGGTAGGACCTGAACTGAGAGCGCTGCAGTTCCAAACTCGCCTGTTGTTGAGTCCACCGCTCGGACCTGCAAGTAGAAGATGTTTCACAACAGAAAGAGTCAGGAAGTGTGAGAAGACTCTTTTCATTTGTCTTATTAAAAAAGAATCTGCAACGTCAGACACCTGAAGTGCAAAGGACTCGGTCTTTACGACCCTCTTCAGAATCACAAACCCTTCAGAGGTCACGTTGACGTAGCTGCTGTACTGAACCTCGTACTTCATATCTGGGTTCACACCCTGTTGCATACAAACACAGAGAAATAACTGATAAATTACGTGTTAAAGTCTTCCTCTTGGTGTTTGGCTTAAGAGCTGAATTTAAAGCAGCTTTGGGCAACATCTTCATGTCATCTCCATGTCATCCTATGCAACCTTGGAGGAGGAAAATTTAAACAACAAATTCTGAGTTACTGGACTGCTAACGTGCTCTGCCAAAAAACGGGTTATTTCTCAGTTAGTACGTTGTAGGATTTTAAAATTGAAAAAGGTCATTCTCTCATTTTTTAATACATTTGCCATAGTCTCTAGTAGGAATGCCTTGTAAGTCGTACTCTGGTGAAAAAACGGCTCAGGTGCACCTGTTTCAGCATGGATAATTCAGCCAGAGGAGAAAGTAGCTTCAGACGGCAGGATGTGGCGTCTTATTTCCTGATATTTGAAAATCTAACCTCTGACTGGCTAACAGTAATGTGACTCTACCACTGAATCTGGTTGTTGTGCAACGCTGATGTTTTACCTCGACAAATAACAAAAGCCTGGAGTAGTTCTGCCATGTGGTGGAGTTGCTAATGCTAACGTTAGCGTCTACTAGCAGAGATATTCTTTGCTGTTTCATGGACGCTAAACCAACAGCAGCCTTCCCCGTCGTGAGTCAAAATGGGTGAGTCCATGACTGTTAAGTGACAGTGTGACGTAGATCTGTCAGCCTTTTCAAATCCTAGAGTTTGCAGAAGACTAGTTTCATGCTTAACCTGCATGTTAAACTTCCTCTTTAAGGAAACTTAATAAGTGACGATAAAATCAAAGATGTATCTCCTCCAGCAGGTCGACAGCATCTGAATTTCTTGTGTTTAAGAAGCAGGAACAAATCCACCTGAAACAGGAAATGGCTCTCCAGCTGATCAAACAACGTTCAAAGAACAATTTTAATGGTCATCTGGACATTTTACTCGTTTGAAGCAAAACAAAGAACCCAGAGATGAGACAGTTGTATTCCTGCTCCTCTCAATCGTGAATTTAATAAAGAACCTTAGATCTTATACAAGTTATTGACTAGAAAATCAAATGTTTCATTTCATTTTTCATTTTCTTTATTCCCAACATTAAAAAACAGGATTTATTTCTTACATAAATTTCATCCAGAATCCTTCTGACAGATGACATAACCACAGAAAAGTCACTCACACCGGCGAAGTCTTCGTCCCGGGCTCGGACCCTGAAGGGTCGGTTGGTGCTTCGGTCTCTGAGTATCATGCTCTCTGGGATGGAGCTGGTGTAAATAAATCCTTCATATCTCTCCCTCTCAAATCGAGGAGGATTCCTGCTCTTCTTCATCACATCGAAGGTCACCTGTGTGACTGCAAACTGATCTCTGTTGGTCACCTGTGATGCCTGATGGACACCAGGAAAGGAAACATTTTTACTTTAGAATAAGTTGAATTATTCAGCTTCCTGTTGAAAATGACAAAGGAACACGTTTGTGTCTTCTACCAGAACAGTCAGGATGATTGGGCCAACGATATCCACAGCTTTAGTCATCGTGATGTTCCCCGTTTCTTCATCAATTTGAAAAATATTTCCTTCATTTCCTGATAAGAAAAAGAGATTTCTTCATAAAAATTTATTTTTATGTCATTAAAACCCCTCTGGAAAACTATCATGCCTGACATGTCATGTGACCAAAGAACATCAGTTGACCATTGAGCAGGATTGATGGTTTATCCCTTGAGGTCCACGTGGCAGGGGTGAGGTGGTGCTCACTCCTCACCACTGCCACGTGGACCCAAGGGATAAAGCATCAACCCTGCCCTGCTCAATGGTCAACTTTCCTTCCAGGGTAACCCATTAGGACTGTGGGAGGGTTAAAAAAAAACTCAAAAGCTTAATAAGAACCAAATACCATCATGATACAATATTAAAAATCAAAGATTTTTAATCCAAACCTCTCAGTATTTTATAGCTGATCTGTTCGCTCCGGTTCTTGTCTCCATCCCTGGCAAACACCGGTCCAGGCTCCAGAACCAATGGGCCTTCCTGGGGTTATAATTAATTGGTCATCACTTCATTGATTTTGAGAGATATAAGAAACTTCTTCTACCAGAGTTGTTCAATGCAAACATTTTCCAAATCAAATTTTGTTTGTTTGTCTCACAGTGATCTGAAATCCTCTTCAGGGTGCTCTTGAACGCAGCACTAGTTGTATTGATTCCTTAAGTTAGAATGGTCATTGGTGTTTGATGTTTCAATACATAAAACAATCTAAGGTCTGTAAATCACTCACCTCCTTCTCTGTGAGGTTAACTTTGCCTCTGTAGCCGCTGCTCACACACAATTTGGCATTTCCTAAATTTGCCCTGAGACAGGGCTGAAACCACGGGGGGCGGTTGTCCACGTCCTTCACATGAACCGTGATGGTGGCCACAGAGGTGAAGAATGGCTCGTCAGAGGCTGAACCGTTAAAGGTGTCCTGGAAGAAAAACCACATCTCAAACCAACGTTTGCAGGAGACAGGAGGTTCTGGTTCTGTTAAAAACAGCTTCCTGTACCTGTACATGTAGCAACAGAGAGATCTTCTGGACAACATCATAATCCAGGAGGCTTCTCACAAGTATTCTTGGTGTGTTTATATTCTCCAGACGGAAATATTTGTCCTGGGTTAGCAGGCAAAGAGCAATAACTGTACGTTTCTTTTCACCTAAACACGTCTAAGTTCTGTCATTCTTTGGAATAACAATCAAACTACTGCAGAAAAAATGGAGAAAGTCAAATTAAGTTAAGAAATCCTACAAATACGTATAAATATGGTCAATGTAACCATATTCACATGCTATAAATACACAAAAATAACAGCTTTTCGGCAAAAATAGAGAAATACAAACCAAACAAAGTGTAAGCCCAATCCTTAACTAGAATCCAAACGGGAATGGATCAGTTTTGGTACATTTAATGGGACATGAATGTAAACTGCCTGGCCAAAAAATAAGTTGCCACCTGCATTTAACTAAGCAAATAGGTACAAGCTTCCTATTGGATAATTACTGCATGTTATTTTAGCTGGTAACAGGTTACTTAACCCCAATTGGTTCCAATGAGTTGAAGGACACATCTGGTGGTTGTGGAAAATATGTTTGAGAAGGGTCAGATCATTGGCATGCATCAAGCAGAGAAAACATCTAAGGATAAACAACTAAAACTGGGTTAAGAACTGTCCAACGTATTATTAAAAACTGGAAGGATAATGGGGACCCATCGTTTTCTAGGGAAAAATGTGGCTGTAAAAAAGATTCTGAATGATTGTGATCAACAGCTACTTAAATGTTTGATGAAATCAAATCAAAGAAAAGCAGTAGTAGAACTCAGGGCTATGTTTAATAGTGAAAGAAAGAGCATTTCCACACCCGCAATGTGAAAGGAACTCAAAGGATTGGGACTGCATAGTTGTGTAGCATAAGAAAACCACTGATCCGTGAGCTAAACCAGAAAAAAAGGCTAAAGGAAGCATGAAGGTTGAACTCTGAAGCAATGGAAGAAGGTCATGTGGTCTGATGAGTCCAGATGGCCCTGTTCCGGAGTGATGGGTGCATCAGAGTAAGAAGAGAGGCAGATTAAGTGATGCACCCATCATGCCTAGTGCCTAATGTACAAGCCTGTGGGGGCAGTGCTATGATCTGGGGTTGTTGCAGTTGGTCAGGTCTAGGTTCAGCAACAGGATGTGTTCCAAGAATGAGGTCAGCTGACTACCTGAATATCCTGAATGACCAGGTTATTCCATCTTCCCTGATGGCATGGGCACAGAGTCCACACTTTAACCCCATCGAGAATCTTTGGGATGTGCTGGAGAAGGCTTTGTGCAGCGGTCAGACTCTACCATCATCAATGCAAGATCTTGGAGAAACATTAATGCAACACTGGATTGAAAAAAATCTTGTGACATTGCAGAAGCTTATCGAAACAATGCCACAGTGAATGTTTGCTGTAACGAAAGCTAAAGCGGTTCAACAAAATATTAAAGTGTGTGATCTTGTCTGGTGGCAACTTTGATTTTGGCCAGGCAGTGTATGTAAAAACATGCAAATTCAAAGAAGAAGAATATAAAGCTGGTGAGAGTGTTACCGTTGCAGGCTCTAAGCGATAATAAAGTGGTTCTGAATCTACATCGGTGGCTTCAATCAGTCCAACGCTGGAGTTAACCGGCAGCAACTGCAGGAAATAAAACTGAAAGAGTCAAGAAAGAACCAGTAACACACAAACTGATGCAAGATGTGTGAGTCCAACACTTCACCTCATTTAGGTCCAACACGTAGTGGTTCTGAGCAAAGTTTGGTGGGTTATCGTTCATGTTTTCTACCAGAACTTCAACAGACTCATTCACCTTTAAGAAACATAACAAGCTCAGTCTGAACCAGTCTGAAACTGTGAAAATGGAAAAGTTAAGTTTGTAATGTGGGATGCTCACAGTTCTGGCGCCGGCTCTGCTGCACCTGACCCAAACCACCAGAGTTGGACTGAGTAAAGACTGAAACAACAGCAGGTAAAAAGTTAGAATGCGATGGGGAAAGTTCCCTGTGGAGGATTGGATGAAATCTCCTCAAACGTGTGAATCTTGAGAAGTCTGGTTGGACTTTATCCTCCCAACCCAAAACATCCTGGTATTCTGGTATTGTACACACAAAACTACACACATGAACATGGTTAAAAGGGAAGCAACTATAGCAGAGTTGCTTTTTACTTATCAGTATTTTTTCAACTTAATGTTTTGTGTGAGCTGGATTGGATTGAGCTCTGGAATCAAGATCTCGGACAAGCCCCCAATGCTACCATCTGGCTCTTTGAGCTGCAACAAAATGAATTCCATGATATAAATTATGTTAAATTAATTATTTGCTTGATCATGAAATAATTCAGCTCAACAATATCTGTAATAAAGGGAAACTTATCGCGTCATACCCGTGTCAAAACCCGTGCACGCGCATTGGGTCCACAGCGCGCGTGTGAACGGGACTCGCGAGCGAAAATATACATGGCAGCGCGCGTGTGAACGGGACTCGCGAGCGGAAATATACATGGCGAGAGGTCATTTGTGCACTGAGAGGGAGCAAACTGTGTCTGTGAGCGCACAAGGATGTGCACAAGTGACAAACCTGCGTGCGCGCGTTGTCAACGAGCACACGGCAGAGGAAAACGTGCGCGCGCGGCAGCCTCTGTGCGCGCTCGGCAGCCTCTCTGCGCGCTCGGTTTCTGACTCCTGCTCGCTCGGCTGTAAGGGTTTTGGCACTCTGGAGGCGTGGCCTGTGGCAGATCTTCTCTGTCCTCTGATTGGTTAGTGTACCCCGCACTTTACCCTCTACCTATCTATATAAAAAAGTCTGCTGGTATAGTAGTTGCTGGCATAGCTCAGTTTGAAGAGCGGGTGACTCTCGCCCCGGAGGATCTGGGTTCGAGGCCGGGTAAAGAAAATGCAGTAGATGTCATGTTAGTTTTTCTTAGATTCAGGTATTTTACAGTTGTGACCGTTCAACTGTCATTAAACGTCCGAATGTTTGCTGGGCAGTGTTTTAAAAAGTGCACATAAGCTAGATGGTTTTAACCATAGAAAATTACATTTTTTGTGATACTGGAAAAATACATACTGAAATAAAACTACTGATTGAAAACTTTATGACTGTGGTTGTACAATATATGACTCACTAATACACTGCAAACTCCCTTAGAGTGGGGCTTCCAGAGAGAGAGAGAGAGAGAGAGAGAGAGAGAGAGAGAGAGAGAGAGAGAGAGACAGAGAGAGAAAAGTTCTTGCCTCATTAATGAATTGTTTATTTTTTTCAGTATTTAATTGACAAATTATCCTTTCAAATAATTAATTGATGAGTTACATAATTGTCCATTTAGAATTGTTGAATGGACTGAGTCAAGTTTGGTGCACTTTATATATTTCAAAACATGTTTTTTTTTATTTTAATGATGCATATAAATAATTTAAATGTTAATTTAATGAAATATTTCTATTTTTTCATTACCTCACCCTTATTTTGACAAAAACGGGACCTTGCTGGATAATATCATGGAGAAACTATTTGTTCACAGTACATGGCTCCGTAAGGATCTGTGTACCAAAGGAGGAGATACTCAGAAATCTGTCTGCAGATTGTTACAACCCAGACTGGAAGTGGTGGGCTGTAATAAGAAAGGAGACCAAACAGAGCAGTGGGGGTTCAACAACTGATTTATTTAACAAAAGTAAGGATTTACTAAAGCAAGTTAGTGAACAGAAAATGGCCATCTCAAGGTTTTACTCGGATGTCCCTCAGCAGGGTGCAGCACTGTTGAAGGTCATCTGAATGAAAGCTTGATATGCAGTTTCTTTATGAAAGTGTGTAAATATACAGTGTGGTTGCCGTACATATGTTGAGGTTCTCAGACATCAGGCTTCTTTGCCCAGGCCTTCACTAGTGGGCTATTTTAAAAGTTGGTAAGGAGAAAAACCACAGCATATAGCTGATTGTTTACAAATGCAAGGAGGGGAATAACAATCAAAATGCTTGTGTTCTTGGACCAGATGAATGGAGCGCTCCACATGCACTCAGAGATGTTATGGCTTCTGTTTCTATAACTTTACATGCAGACATTTGAGGTTTGCCAGAAAGGAAAGCTGGCCTGTACACTTTGCAGGACACAATGTCATCAATGCAGAAACCCCTGTCTACCAAGATGACCATCTCTAGTTGTAGCATTTTCATCACACCAGATTCCCAGGTTGGTCGCTGATAGTTCCAGCATACAGTGCTGAGACAAAGGTCACTGGCCTATGTGGCACAATCCAAATGAGCCTCTTCAGAGTGCAGTTGAACTTGAGGAAAATATATGACTCTGGAAGAGAGGGGAATATGGCCATTGACACCTCAGATCAGTGCAGTCAAGAATTACTGGTGTTTGGGTAGTCCTGAACGTGTTGTGATGCCCCCACCATCTCATTGGGTTTTCATTTGTGTTTAATTGTGTTTTTCTTCTGTTGTAGGCAGCTGGTTAAGCAGCCTTGGAGGCACCTGGGCTCAGGGTGTGGTGCTGCCTACAAAGCCTACTGTTTTTCTGCTTTCACTGGGTCTCTCCTGTGTGGTGGAGAGTCCTCACTGGCCATTTTCTGTTCACTAACTTGCTTTAGTAAATCTTTACTTTTGTTAAATAAATCAGTTGTTGAACCCCCACTCCTCTGTTTGGTCTCCTTTCTTATTACAGCCCGCCACTTCCAGTCTGAGTTGTAACAATCTGCAGACAGATTTCTGAGTATCTCCTCCTTTGGTACACAGATCCTTACGGAGCCATGTACTGTGAACAAATAGTTTCTCCATGATATTATCCAGCAAGGTCCCGTTTTTGTCAAAACAAGGGTGAGGTAATGAAAAAATAGAAATATTTCATTAAATTAACATTTAAATTATTTATATGCATCATTAAAATAAAAAAAAAACATGTTTTGAAATATATAAAGTGCACCAAACTTGACTCAGTCCATTCAACAATTCTAAATGGACAATTATGTAACTCATCAATTAATTATTTGAAAGGATAATTTGTCAATTAAATACTGAAAAAAATAAACAATTCATTAATGAGGCAAGAAATTTTCTCTCTCTGTCTCTCTCTCTCTCTCTCTCTCTCTGGAAGCCCCACTCTAAGGGAGTTTGCAGTGTATTAGTGAGTCATATATTGTACAACCACAGTCATAAAGTTTTCAATCAGTAGTTTTATTTCAGTATGTATTTTTCCAGTATCACAAAAAATGTAATTTTCTATGGTTAAAACCATCTAGCTTATGTGCACTTTTTAAAACACTGCCCAGCAAACATTCGGACGTTTAATGACAGTTGAACGGTCACAACTGTAAAATACCTGAAACTAAGAAAAACTAACATGACATCTACTGCATTTTCCTTGCCCGGCCTCGAACCCGGATCCTCCGGGGCGAGAGTCACCCGCTCTCCCAACTGAGCTATGCCAGCAACTGCTTGAATAGCAGACTTTTTTGTATAGATAGGTAGAGGGTAAAGTGCGGGGTACACTAACCAATCAGAGGACAGAGGAGATCTGCCACAGGCCACGCCTCCAGAGTGCCAAAACCCTTACAGCCGAGCGAGCAGGAGTCAGAAACCGAGCGCGCAGAGAGGCTGCCGAGCGCGCACAGAGGCTGCCGCGCGCGCACGTTTTCCTCTGCCGTGTGCTCGTTGACAACGCGCGCACGCAGGTTTGTCACTTGTGCACATCCTTGTGCGCTCACAGACACAGTTTGCTCCCTCTCAGTGCACAAATGACCTCTCGCCATGTATATTTCCGCTCGCGAGTCCCGTTCACACGCGCGCTGTGGACCCAATGCGCGTGCACGGGTTGTGGCACGCTTTAAACGCCATAGAAACTGTTTGGTTTCACAGATTAGTGACTCATCTCAAGGAGAGCCAATGCTATAAATAATATGTTTTACAGAACAAATCTGTTATTCTATTATTTCTATTTTACTTTCATGGTTGTTCTTTGGTGACTTTTACTAGAAATAAAATCAATGTTAACTGTGAGCAAAATACAAAATTATGTTCACAAAGGATAAAAGTGAATAAACAAATATCAACTGAGTTATTTCAGTAAATAATATGTCAAAAAAAATTAAACATATTAACTTTGAACGCTGCTCCTCAAGAAATTACTAGGACAAAGACAAAAAAATCTCATTACTACTACTACATACATTATGCACTATGATATCAGCATATCAGTTTCAGAGAATCTGAAGGGGGAATGGTATTATTGCTGGGACGCACTTTGAAAAATATGGTCAAGTCAAGTAGCTTAACATAAAAAAGAAAATAGGAAGTAAATAATGCAGAAACAGCATCTGTTTGGTTATCTTTCTTTAAAACAGTTATTATTTCACCTCATAGTCCAGTCCTCTCTTCACCATCAGGATGTTTCCTCTGATGTAGAACAGATCGTCAGGGTTCACTGCAACGCTCATGCTCACATCGCTGCTAGAGATTATTTTAACCACCTGGACGTCCGCTGTGTTGTTTTCCGGGATGGTCACGGGTCCAGGAGGTACCGTGCAGACTGCAGGAGAGGCAGCACAGTCATCAGGCAAAGACTGAATATACTAAAACTCAAGCAGCCGTGGAACATTGGGGACTCAACAACAGAACCTCATCTGGACCATCATGTGTCATCCACTCAGAGAATATGTAGCTTCTAGCTTAAAATGAAAAATGACCCGTACTTGTGTAGCACGTTTCAGAGTCAGAGGACTCCAAAGCTCTTTACACTATCATTCATCCATTCACACACACATTCACATGCTGGTGATGATGTAGCCACAGCTGCCCTGCGGCGCAGTTACAGAGGCGATGCTTCCAAGCACAGGCTCCACCGGTCACTCCGACCGCAGTCAGGGAAGGTTTAGTGTCTTGCCCAAGGACACAACAACAGAATTCAGTGCCAGGAGCCAGGATCAAACCTACAACCTTCTGATTACTGGACAAGCCGCTCCACCTCCTGAGTTTCTGCTGCCCCTATGAGTCATGACTTTATGAATAAATCCCAAAACCTTTAATTAAAATTGAACCAAACTCCTTTGTGGTAATTAAAGCATCCTGCAGCCAATCACAATCCAGTACATCCAGTACAGAGCATCTAGATCAGGGGTGCCCAATCTTGGTCCTGGAGGGCTGGTACGCAGCAGATTTTGTGGTTTCTCTGTTCCAACACACTTGATTCAGTGATTGAATCACCTGTGAAGCAGCTCATCAGGCTCTGCAAAATCAGAAGCAGGGTTAAAGCTAAAACCTGATGGACACCGGCCCTCCAGGACCAGGATTGGAAACCCTTGATCTAAATAAACAGATCATAAACAGGCACACATTCCTGGTCGCTCTGTCACACTGATCTCAGATCAGATCTACTCACGTCTTTGAGCCCAACAAACTGTACAAAAGCAGACGGCAGCCACACATCCGAGGAGAACATTATCAGGTTTGCTCTTCAATTTCACTTCCATGTCCTGATTTCAGAGGCAGCAACAAATGAAGTCCTGAGGAGGATGAGGAGCCCGTGGTACCAGCTGGTACCCCGCCACATAATGGTCCGTCTGTGCTGCCCGGAGAGTGGGAGTCGACTACAGTTCCAATGTTTGTGACTTCATCTTACTGCCACATATTGCATTAAATGCCTGCCAGAAGTGGACTTGCAGCCTCCCACTAAAATACTTGCATCTCTTTTAGCTGGACGACTCATTCTGTACTGGAAGTCCCAGTGCATTCTGGGAGGAATCCAGCAGAGGAACGCTGGCAGCTGGAAACATTTCTGACCTCCCCAGCCACGGTTCAGGTCAAGAAAATAGAAACATTTGGTCAGAAGATTTAAGTCTGAATAACCAAATCAGAAGAAGAAAACTTCAAATGAACTTAAAAAAATATGTTGCAGATCTAAAAAATGTAAATCTTTTAGAATTAAAACTTTAAACAGTAATGCTAATCCCAGCAGGACTAAAAATTGTAGCTGTGAGGATTAGCTACATTTATTAAATGACCAATAGGATGCGATATTCCATTTAAATATGAATTATCAATCTGACTGGTCTTTGAATATTTGAACTAATATTACCTTTAGGTTCTTTGACTATTCAGGGAACACACATTTCATATTAATTCAGACAGAGTCAAGTATATAGTTATAAAAATGAATTTAATTCTATTTTCATAAACTAATGGTTATACATGACACAGTATGAATGAAATGATGGTTGTACAGGATGGCAGATGGTGGAATGTGAGCTAGATGTTTGTAGCAAAACCTTGTAAGTGTCTGAGAGATCTTGTGATGTCTGGGTTGTAAAATCAGTTTGTCCGTGTGGTTGGATAGGTTAGAGACTATTCATAAAACCAGCCGACGCCATTTGAGCCGACACACCCTTTGTGTTGAAGGTCCCTGTGCTATCAAGAAGTTGGAATAGACACTGCTGGTAGGACGGACCTCTGGGCAACAGAACCCATAGTTCAGCTCCGAGCACGACCTGTCTAGTCTGAGATACCCTCCAGGTGACGGCAGGAAACTGGCGTTTCTATTTTGCCTCTGAGGCTGTTGTGCCTGATATCACTCACAGGTGTTGCAGAGCGACTGTGACCTTAGTCAAAAGAGAGAATGGTTCCAAATGCTTGCTCACCTGATCTGCCTAATTAGGTGGCCGCTGAAGGACTGGCTAGATCAGGAAGTGTTCTAGTTTTTATCAACTGTTTGTTGACAAATTTAGACAAATCAGAATTTGACAAGTTTAAAGGCGTTACCAAAGACCTCAGAAAATCACGCCTTCACTCAGATACTTAGAGGTTAACTCCTAGTGTGAAGCAAAAAGTTTAAACATGAATAATAATATGATATTATTGTGTTTAAACTGATGAATGAAATGACTAAAATCAACAAATACTGATGTGGTGTAATGTAACATCTGAAATTAATCATTACAGGAAAAATATTCATTTTAACTCATCACTGATTAATGCACATATTATTTATATGCTTTGGATTTAAACATCTTGTTCATTCAACAGAATATGATTATGAGGAGTTTTAAAGTCATTTATGTCAGGAAAGATAAGCTTTACTCGGAGAGTAAAAGTCTCGTCTTCTGCCAGAGACCTTTGGCTTCAGCTAATGTAAAGGGAATCAGGAGAAGGGTTTATTATGGCTTCACTTGTTGGCAACACGGGTGTAGAGCAGTGTGTTTACTGGTTTGGAGACCAGTCCTCTGTTTAATTCTGCACAGAGAAAGAGTCTGGGAACTTTCCTTTTCAAATAACCCCACCCAGTGAGAATTCTAACCAAGCCAATCAGCGCTGAGCATCGTACATGACACACCATAATGCCGAGTTTATCGAACATGGTGACTGAAGTGGAGTTCGCTGCAGCTCCTTCCTTTCTTCTAAATGATTTGAACATGTCTTTAAAACCACAACAAGTAGAAGCGCTAAAAGCCTTTCTTCTAAACAAAGATGTTTGCGCTGTCGTCAAATTTTTACTATAGCTAAAAAACTACAGCGTCGCTGACGTCACACACAGCAATGCTCAGTTTCTCATAAACAACAAAGACAGTGGTGTTTGTTATTGGACTTCTGTGCCAGTCATGGATTGTCCATAATGAACACCACGTTCAGACATAAAGGTGTCCATATGTGCTCTTGGCACCAGGATACCTTGGGCCGCAGCTCGATGATCGACTTTGTTGTTGTTTCATCTGACCTATGGCCACATGTCTTGGACACTCGGGTGAAGAGAGGGGCGGAGCTGTCAACTGACCACTACCTGGTGGTGAGTTGGCTCAGATGGTGGGGGAGGATGCCGGTCAGACCAGGCAGGCCCAAACGTATTGCGAGGGTCTACTGGGAACGTCTGGCAGAGTCTCCTGTCAGAAGGAGCTTCAATTCCCACCCCCGACAGAACTTCTAAAATGTTCCGGGGAGGCAGGGGACATTGAGTCTGAATGGACCCTGTTCCGTGTCTCCATTGTTGAGGCGGCCGACCGGAGCTGTGGTTGCAGAATCATCTGTGCCTGTCGTGGTGGCAAATCCCGAACCCGCTGGTGGACACCGGCGGTTAGGGATGCTGTCAAGCTGAAGAAAGAGTTCTATCAGGTCTTTTTGGCCTGTGGGACTCCAGAGGCAGCTGACGGGTACCGGCAGTCCAAGCGGAATGTGGCTCGACTGGTCGCCAAGGCAAAAACCCGGGCATGGGACGAGTTCGGTGAGACCATGGAGCAAGACTTCCGCATGGCTTCAGGGAGATTCTGGCCCACCATCCGGCGCCTTGGAGGGGGAAATCAGTGGGCTACCAACACTATCTATAATGGGGACGGTGTGCTGCTGACCTCTACTCAGGACGTTGTGGATCGGTGGGCAGAATACTTCGAAGACCTCCTCAATCCCACCAACATGTCTTCCAGTGAGGAAGCAGAGTCTGGCGACTTTGGGTTGGCCTCTCAAATCTCTGGTGCTGAGGTCACTGAGGTGGTTAAAAAGCTCCCTTGTGGCAAGGCTCCAGGGGTGGATGAGATCCGCCCAGAGTTCCTTAAGGCTCTGGATGTTGTGGGACTGTGTTGGCTGACGCGGCTCTGCAATATCGCGTGGACATCGGGGGCAGTCCCACTGGATTGGCAGACCGGGGTGGTGGTCCCCTTATTTAAAAAGGGGGACCGCAGGGTGTGTTCCAACTGCAGAGGGATCTCACTCCTGAGCCTTCCTGGTAAGGTCTATTCAGGGGTTCTGGAGAGGAGGGTCCGTCGGATTGTTGAACCTCAGATTCAGGAGGAGCAATGTGGTTTTCGTCCTAGCCATAGAACACTGGACCAGCTCTGTACCCTTAGGGGGATCCTGGAGGGTGCGTGGGAATTTGCCCAACCAGTCTACATGTGTTTTTTGGATTTGCAGAAGCCGTTTGACCGTGTCCCTCGGGGGGCCCTGTGGGGGTACTTCGGAAGTATAGGGTACCAGGCCCTCTGATACGAGCTGTTAGGTCCCTGTATGACAGTGTCAGAGCTTGATCCGCATTGCCGGCAGTAAGTCAGGCTCATTCCCAGTGAGAGTAGGACTCCGCCAAGGCTGCCCTTTGTCACCGATTCTGCTTGTAACCTTTATGGACAGGATTTCTAGGTGCAGCCAAGGTGTGGAGGGCATCTGTTTTGGTGGCCTGAGGATCAGGTCTCTGCTTTTTGCAGATGATGTGGTCCTGTTGGCTTCATCAGAACGTGATCTTCAGCTTTCGCTGGAGCGGTTTGCAGCTGAGTGTGAAGCAGCTGGGATGAGAATCAGCTCCTCTAAATCTGAGACCATGGTCTTGATTTGGAAAACGGTAGAATGCCTTCTCCGGGTCAGGGATGAGGTCCTGCCCCAAGTGGAGGAGTTAAAGTATCTCGGGGTCTTGTTCACGAATGAGGGAAAACTGGAACGTGAGATCGATAGGCGGATTGGTGCTGCATCTGCAGTGATGTGGACGTTGTACCGGTCTGTCGTGGTGAAGAGCAAGCTGAGTCAGAAGGCAAAGCTCTCGATTTACCAGTCGATCTACGTTCCTACCCTCACCTATGGTCATGAGCTTTGGGTAGTGACCGAAAGAACGAGATTGTGGATACACGCGGCCGAAATGAGTGTTCTCCAAAGAATGGCTGGGCTCTCCCTTAGAGATAGGGTGAGAAGCTCGGTCATTTGGGGGGGGGGGGCTCGGAGTAGACCCGCTGCTCCTCCACATCGAGAGGAGCCAGTTGAGGTGCCTCGGGCATCTGGTCAGGATGCCTCCTGACCGCCTCCCTGGTGAGGTTTTCCGGGCACGTCCAACCGGGAGGAGACCTAAAGGTAGACCCAGGACATGGTGGAGGGACTATGTCTCTCACCTGTCCAGGGAACGCCTTGGGATTACCCCAGAGGAGCTGGCCAGGCCCGGAGTGGCTAATCGGGAGGGTCTGGAGAATTCCCGGTGGGCCGCGCGATGTTTGGGCCGCATGGGCCGGTGCTCTCGTTTTTGTTTTTTATCATTTTTATTTTTTTGTGCCGGTGTTCAATCATGGCACTGAGGCCGCCGGGCTGATCTCATACGCTCCTCCCGGCTGTCTCTGGCTGGCTCTACCTGCAGGCTGCCGCTCGTTATTTTTTTTCCCCGTATGCGCCTGTGCGCACCACGTGACCACGCGGTTGACGGAAAGATGGAAAGTAGAAAGAGCAAGGGTGGCGCGGAGAAGGCAAGAATTAAAAAGAGGAAAGCGCTGGAAACAGATGCAGCTAAATGTGCCAAAATGAGCACCTTTTTTCTCAAACAAGCTTGCGGTCTTTAACTTCAAATGAAGATAAAACGGGTAAGGCAAGTCAAGATGTTAAACTTTACCAGCTGCAAATCACCATTCAAGTTAATTAAGCATCAATAATGAATTATATGGCATCATGACATAACGTTATGTAATATAATTAACAGTATGATGTGACTGATGCCACCAAACTGTCTTGTAGCCCCTCAGAGTCAAACACAAGATCCAGTAGGCCTAATAAGCACCAGGCAGAAGCCCACAGTTCCAGAGCGGGCATGTACAGGTAGGATTACTTATTGAGTCAGTGAACTGAATATTATTAAAATT